AATTTAGGGGTGCCTGGCTGGCTGGCTCAGTCATCTAAGTGGCTGACTCTTGATTTTGCTTCAGGTCATGATCTCAAGGTTTTGAGATTGAGCCCTGTGTTGGACTCATGCTCGGTGTGAGTCTGAGATTCTTTCTCTCCCCTCTCCCTGCCTCTCAATCCTCCGACACATACACTCTCTCAATATCTTTTTTTAAAAATGGGTTGATATATTGGTTCCACTAGTATGTCAAAAGAGAAAAACCCATGTCATAATTTTAATAGATTCTAAAAAGCATTTGATAAAATTCAATGCCCATGTCTGATTTTTTTTTAAATTTTTATTTATTTATGATAGAGAGAGAGAGAGAGAGAGAGGCAGAGACACAGGCAGAGGGAGAAGCAGGCTCCATGCACCGGGAGCCCGACGTGGGATCCGATCCCGGGTCTCCAGGATCACGCCCTGGGTCAAAGGCAGGCGCCAAACCGGTACGCCACCCAGGGATCCCCCATGTCTGATTTAAAAACAAAAACAAAGTCTTAAAAATTTGTAATATGAATATTTTTCCTTTATATAACAATATTTTAAACTAAGAGACAATATATACTTCTAATGAAGCACTAGAGATACTCTCTTTAAGGAACAAGACAGGGATGCCTGGGATGATTCAGTCAGTTGAGTGGCTCTTGGTGTTGACTCAGGTTATGATCTCATGGGTCATGAGATCAAGCCCCATGTGGAGCCCTGCCTGGAGCCCCACGTCGGGCTCTGTGCTCAGCACAGAGTCTGCTTGAAGATTCTCCCCTCTGCCCTCTCCCAACTCATGCGCATACTCTCCCTCACTCTCTCTAAAATAAAATAAAATAAATAAAATAAAATCTTTAAAAAAAACAAGACAAATATTTCCTCCTTTGTTCTAGATGTTTTGAACAACAATAATAAAAGAGGTAAAACCAGAATTTTTTTTTAAAGATTTTATTTATTCATGAGAGACAGAGAGAGCAAGAGGCAGAGACACAGGCAGAGGGAGAAGCAGGCTCCATGCAGGGAGCCTGATGGGGGCTCGATCCCGGGTCTCCAGAATCCTGCCCTGGGCCGAAGGCAGGCACTAAACTGCTGAGCCACCCAGGGATCCCGTAAAACCAGAAATTAACTTTGGAAAAGGAAAAGACATTATTTGAACATAATATGATTATACACACACACACACACACACACACACACACACACACACACAAGCTCTAAGTTTCTGACTCATTTAACCTGAGATACAAAGAGAAAGGATATGCATAGATTGAGAACAGGAGTCGATGCAGCATGTATTTCCATAGTTTCTTATGTTCTTTTTCTCTTGGTTCTTGAAATAAACTTAGCACTCGCAAGACCCCATCTCTCACAGGGTTAGGGGAGAAAGCAGAGTCACTGCCCAGGAATTCCCAAACAGCATCTCCCTCTATCCAGCTTCGTGATGTGCTGGGAAGTTCATTTTCCTCAAATATATAAGACAATCTGACTCTTGGGTATTTGCAAAAGATCTCAGAAAGATAACCAGATTCACCATTAAATGTAAAATTTAAGAGTTTCCTTGTGCACATAAGAATAAATTAATAATTATTTAGAAGATAATAATGAGGGACAATTCCATTTATAGTATCAAACAAAATGAAGTTCATAGGCTTAATCTTAGAAAGAAAAGCATAGACTTTATAGGTAAAAGAATAAACTTTACTGTGAAATAGCAAAGAAAACATAGATGAAAGCAGAGACAGCATGTTTCTGGAAAGCAATAAATAGTACAAGAAATTATTTCTTCTGAAATTAACTCTTGGGGGAGGGGCAGCAAAGGGAGACAGAAGGGGAGAATCTAAAGCGACTCCATGCCTAGCAAGGAGCCTGATGCTTGGCTCTATCTCACAACCCTGAGATCATGACCTGAGCCCCAGTCAAGAGCCTGACACTTAATCAATTGAGCCACCTAGGAGCCTATGACATTAACGTTTTGATTCAACTTTGCAAAACAATGCTAAGTTCACTTGGAAAAAAAAATATGAGAATGAATAAAATTAGACAATAAACTAAATCAGAAGGACTTGCCCTACCAGATATAAAAAGTTATAAGATTTCACTAAGTAAAGCTGTGTAGTACTACTATGAGAATGACAGCCAGATCATTAAGAAAGGTACATGGTGCCAAAGCAAAGTCTTAGCATATATGTGAAATTAATATATGATAAAAGATAAAATCAATAGAATGACTAAATTACCCTGTGATTGAGTATGGGGAAATTAACTACCTCGGAAAAATTGAGTTATGCATAAACACAAATATTGTTGATTTTCTCCTGTATTCTTTTGCAATTTTTTTATAATTGTAGAAGAAATTTTTTTTAGAAGATTTTACTTATTTATTCATAAGAGACACACAGAGAGAGGCATAGACACAGGCAGAGGGAGAAGCAGGCTCCATGCAGGCAACCCGATGCAGGACTCAATCCTGGAACTCCAGGATTGTGGCCTGGGCTGAAGGCAGGCACTAAACCTCCGAGCCACCCAGGGATCCCCTGTAGAAGTAAATTTTAAACAATATTCCTAGGATGCTCCACAGAAGCTCATCCAATATGAGGTTTAGAACACTGAAAAAAGCTCTGGAGGAGTCTGAGCTCCTCAGACTAATCTTGATTCTTCCCTATTTAGTTGGATGACCTTGGGTAACTTATTTCATTACTGGGTCAGTTTTTAAATTTTTTAAATGAAAGATTTGAGGTGTACCTGAGTGGCTCAGTTGGTTAAGTGTCCAGCTCTTGATTTTGATTCAGGTCATGCATGATCTCAGGGCTGTGATATTGAGCCAAACATCAGGCTCTTTGCTGGGCTTGGAGCCTGCTTAAGATTCTCTGTCTAAACCTCCAACCTCTCTCTAAACTATATATATATATATATATATATATATATATATATATATATATATATATAATGAGAGATTTGAAATATTTTCTCCAATTTCCAATCCAAGTCTAAAATTTCATGTTCTGAACTATATTATCAAACCTAACTACTATGAAGAAGAAATCTACCTAGGGGATAGTAGCATGAAATCTGGAATCGACTACTGTGTTCCAGTGCTGGTTTCAGCATTTACTAGCTGTGTAATCTTAGGGAAATTTTTTATCCTTTTTGTATTTATTTCCTTAACTAAAAATAAACCAAGGGTATTGATTGTACGTCATAGGCTTGTATAGAGAAATACAGCAATGCATGTAAGTACATGAAAGAATGCCTGGCATATCCTTGCTCAATAAAATCTTTTTTTCAATTTGAAATGTGAGGAGCTTAATTCCTCCACCACCCATCTATACACGCAAGCACAATGACATTGAGACCTTCCTGACTCTTGTGAAGAGATTCTGATATCCATTGGTAGGAGAGAGATTCTGTGGTTAGGCAAAAACTCTCCACATGATTCTGATCCTCTGCCCTTTCTTTTTATTTCCAATTCTAAAGAAACACTGTCAAGGGTCTTTCAAAAAGAACAGCAGTTCTCAAACTCTACAGCAAGTTAGTGACATTGAGCATCAGCACAAAGACTGATAAAATCAGTGGGATAAAAAAAATTCTATTTCAATTTATTTGATAGTTAAAACTTAGGAGCACAGGGGTGGAATTTTATGTTTTTTTTGTTTTTCAACACGTGTTAATATTCCCAGAACATTTCCCCTTAATATAGTTTGGGTAGCGCTAGGTAGAGTTTAAATGCAGTTTAACACTCGCAAATTAAATTATGTACCAAACTATATTATATTCAGAGGTTGATTAAAATATAGTCAAAATTGAATGCTATTGAATGAAGTATTATTTCATTTTCCAGTTATATTCTACTGATTTAAAATATGTATATAAATGGCTGTGATCAGTTCTTTTGTAACTTACTATTGATCATAGATAGGCCCTCTAAAGTCTAAGGGCCCTGGTGCAAGTTATCTGCTATTGTCATTTAATTTTATTTCTGCTTCACTTTGGCTACTTTCATACTATAATAACATGTTTTCTCAAAAAAAAAGAATGCATACTAAATGTTTTTTCTGAAACCTAAAGAGTTACACAGCCCTTTTAGTAGCTAAAATATAAAGAAAAATGTTGCTCCAGGTTAAATCTCATCATTGTTTTATTTCAATGAAAGCAAGATCAAAATTCAGTAATAAATGCTAACATAGGTCTTATTTTGCTTAAATTTCTCATCCAGCATCATCCACTTTTCCTGAAACTCTCAGGCTGTCCCTAATATTTTTATCAGTGCCCAGGGCAGAGCAGATGTTCTGTAATGATCATTTAAGTCAAGGGAAGGGTTGTGTGAGACTGTTTCTACAGCCATAGTCAACCTTGACCCAAGAACAATTGGAAGTAGCAGAGACCTTTTTGCTTAACATCATTGCTGGCCCATCACTATAGATGATTCCATAGGCTGCATTGGGTTAGTGGGAAGATAAAGGCTTATATATTCGATATGAGAAAGAGAACAGAACTTTTCTAAACTGATACGGAAAACCCTAAATCTGGGGCAGCAGAAAGGGAAATGGAGTTTTTATAGCCATTGGGGTTTTGACTAGGGTAGTAATTTCTTGGAAAATTTCATACATACTATGTTTTAGAGAGAACATGGTACCTATATAAGTTTTATGTCTTGCTCTTTCTAATTGTTAAGGTGATAATTAAACTTAGGTGCACATGGGATGATTTGGGGGTTTTTTTTTTCACCACTTATCTCTTAGTTATTTTCTGAACAGTTTTCCCTAAGTAAGTTTGGAAAGTGAGCATTATTTGAAATAACAACTTAAAATTTTGGATTAGAAGCCAGTAAATCTGGAAAATGGGGATTTGCTCAGTGACAAGTCACTGAGGCAGCTATAAAATTAGGATAATTGGGTGACTTCTCCTATTTATAGTATTAATTTCTTAGAGAAAGGAACCTATTTAAAGAATTGTTTTATCAGTATATTCTAATATATATTTAAAATTAATTTCAGATTCTTTTAGTGACCACTATACTCACTTTGAAAGAGTTGTGAAGGCTCTTCTGATCAATGCTTTAGATGAATCTTTTCTGGGAACATTGTATGGTAAGTTAATATAAATGGAACAATTAGGATTTGTTTCTTTTTTCAATTTTTAAACATCCTAATATATAATAATATAATATAATATAATATAATATAATATAATATAATATAATATAATATAATATAATAAATATAATATAATATAATATAAATACTTAAGCATAAATCAAGAGACCCATTCTTAAGGCCCTCCATTTGTTCCCTCTAGGATCAACTACACCAGGAGCCCATTCACATCAAAAAACTTAATACTGTTTATTATTTGTGATACATGGAAATTGCAAAAGAAATCTATCATGTTCCTTCACCTTTAGAGAATTCACAGTGAATATGAGGATATAGGACATAGACTCAAAATAGCAGAGTAGTTCAATAGCCATGTGTTGTCCCAGCCTTTCTAAGCTCATTGAATTTCACCAAAAGCTATATGCTGTTTCATGCTTTTGTGCCTTTGCCCATTAAAATATAATCCCTTTCTACCCTAGATTTTCCAGGTGAATGTAAAGTCGTTTTCACTGCGAAAGCTACTATGACCTACTCAAGTAACATTTTTACTCCTTCATTTGTGCTGTCAATGTCCTGGTGATACTGATGTGTATAGACTTTTCATACTGTATTGAAAATGTATTTTTGCCTTCCTCACTTCCAAGAGTAAAAGAAGAAACCATACCTTATATACTTACTGCTTGCATCTAACACAGAATTTGGAAGTTAATAAAGACTATCAATACATTGTATTGAATAGCTACCTAAATGCCGAAGTGAGATTTCATTTACAGTTTATTGAACAAATATTTATTGAGTGCGTATGAGGCAGGCATTTATTTGAGGTCTGGGGATATGGCAATGCCTATGACAGAGATTCCTGTCCTCATGTTGCTTAAATTCTAATGGGAGAGACAGACCATGGATGAGTAAACAAATAGATAACATAATATAATTTCAACTAGTGATTAGTTCTTGAAAAAAAAATGAAGTAGATTAAGGAGATCAAGAGTGATAAAGGAAACGGAAAGTATCTGTTAGATTGTTCAAAGAAGGTCTCTCAAGAGGTGTCTTTTAAACAGAAAACTGAATGAAGTCAGGAGGAAAGTAATGCATAGATCTCTCTGAGAGCACAGTAAGTGCAAAGACCCTTAGGTAAAAATAAGTTTGATGTGATAGATGAATGGATAAAGAAGAAGCGTTATATAGATCCAACGGAATATTACCTAGCCATAACAAAGAATGAAATCTTGCCATTTGCATGATGGATCTAGAGGGTATAATGCTAAGTGAAGAAAGTCAGGGAAAGACAAATACTGTATGATCTCACTTACATGTGGAATTTAAGAAACAAAGCAAATGAACACAAAAAAGCAAACAAAAAATAGACTCTTAACTATAGAGAACAAACGGGCAGTTACCAGAGGGAAAGTTGGTAGGGAGGATGGCTGAAACAGGTGAAAGGGATTAAGAGTACACTTAATGTGATGAGTACTGAGCAATGCATAGTATTGTTGAATTCCTATATTTACATCTGAAACCTATATAACACCATATGTTAATTTTACTGGGATTAAAATTTTAAAAAGTTTGATGTATTCAGGGAAAAATTAGAAGGCTTCTGTGGTTCTTTCCTTTCCCTAATGCTCTGATGGAATTGGTTTTTTTTCTTTACTTCATTAATATTTTAAAAAATTAAAATGCTTCTAACCAAATAACCAGGTATCCTTCTAAAACCATGGGAAGAAATTTAAAAAGTATTCAACTGCTTCACTATTTCCTAATGTTCTCAACCTTGGCACTATTGGCATTTGAGGCTGGATGATTCATTGGTGTGGAGGCTGTAAAGAATTAGATGCATAGATAGATAGATAGATAGATAGACAGACAGATATTTACTAAGGGCAAAGTGATTATATGTTGCTGGTGTTCCCCTGAACAGATGGCACCAGGCAAAAATCATATGCACAAGATATGTTGACATCTCTTCATTACTTGGATAACCGCTTTGTTCAGCCTCGTCTAGAGAGTTTAGCTTCTAGAAGTCGCTGGAAAGAGCAATACAAGGTATATAGTTTAATTTGTTTTTGAATCTCTGGTTGGGGAGATGAGAGTTTATTTTTATTTATTAAACTGATTATTGACTGAATAATCTTCTAAATTATTGGCATTTTTCTTGGTTAAATAATCAGCTTGTTCCTCACCTTTTCTGAAGGCTGTTGTTTTAATTATTATAACACTTATTATATGTATCCAGTAATTAAGTAGTTCTAAATGATGAATAATTTTAGAATGCCTGTAGAGCTTAGCCAATCTATTAAAATGAGGTTATCTCACAGGATGTTAATTGTTGTTTCAGAAGGAAGTTTTATTGCTAAAGAAGATTGAGAAACAGTGGGTTTAACTTTAAGCTTGACTGGAGGACTTTTCAAGAAACATTAATGTGTGAATTTATACTGTAAATCTTCAAGAGGGTGATGTAGAATGTAATACTTTCCAAATCTGTGTTTTCCTATGGGCCTCCTTTTCATGACCTTTTATCATCTCCTAGAATAAGTGGTTTCCATAACATAATTTGGGAAATACTGGCCTGGGTTGTCTCTGACATCCTTCTCCACCTTAAGATTTTATAATTCTACCAATTTCGGGCAAGCATCTTTTTAATTTATAAGACTTATACTGCATTCCATGTTATCCCATAGACTTCTATTTTATGTCTCTAATAGTAGAGGCTGTCTTATATGATTTTTAAGAGCTTTTTTCTTAATCTCCTAATTTCTATCTACCAATGATTAGCAGGAAGGAAAAAAAAAATGGTAGGGTAACAGAAGTTCAAGTTCCTAACAGTCCTCTAGAACTCTAATCGTTAGCTACTCTACCTCATTTATGTCAGGAGATTGGCTTCATCCAAGGCCTATTTGGTCTTGAATTAACTGATAAATTAGCCACAGATGGTTTGGGTTTAAGGGACACTTATGGGATTACAGAAATAGAGAACTTCAGTTTGAAATATGGCTGAATTTAGGGCCATCATATATATCTTTTTGATTTGGGGTCAGTTTTTAACCTCTCTAAACTCCGCTCTTCCTCAGACACAGAAAATATTTATCTAATTTCAAAGGAAATATTTGCTTACTTAGAAGGTAAAATACATAACACATTCTTAGAACATGGTATAAATATTATTTTTTCAATAGAAAAATAGCATATATTTATTGATCACTTAACTTTGCCACATAATTTGCATACAATGCAAACTATCTTATTTGATCTTCAGAGTAACTCCCTGAGGAAGGCACTATTCTTTCTCTGTTTTAGAGCTGAGAAAACTGTGACTCAGAAGAATTGAGTAATGCAAGGTTGCACAGCTAGTAATTAGGCCAATTTTTAAACCTAGAAATCATAAGTTCCTAGTATTTCTCTGACTCCAAAGTCCATGCCACTGTGCTATATTATGTGTAACTATACTATGGTATATTGTGCTGAATTTGGATTACCTGATGTTGAAATAATAACTGTGAGATACAAGAAAATATTAGTTTAAACATTTAGAGACATAAATAATCAGTATGATCTTGGTCAGAATTAGCTAAGTTATGCTACAAAAATAATATGACAGATCAACAATGAAAATCTTAATAGCTTTAACCCAACAAAGGTTATTTTTCAGTTCTATGTCCAGTGTAAATCAACGAGAGTGTTCTGCATATTGTAGTCACTCACAGAGCCAAACTGATAGGGCTTTTATCTCGGATGTGCTTCCAGAAGTACCACAAGAAAGAGAAGGGAAAGTGGTTTAGTCACCTGTAAGTGACACATTGTCACAAACTGCCATGAAGTATGAGAAATATTAAAAGTAGACAAAATACAATATAGTTGTGAATCATACAGTATTAAAAAGGAAACTATCAGTATACTGAATGTTTAATTACTATCAGGCTGATAGAGAATACAAATGTGGATTAGTAACCCTGCTAATATGTTCCCTGTGTGCAGTTCAAATGCTATGGTAACACCTAATCTATACTACTAATTATGACAGTAGTATCTAGCACAGGCCTAGAGTGTGAGCAAAAATATGCAACCACAAGTAATTGTACAGCTTAATAAAGCTTATTTATGAATGCCAAATATTTTCTTGGTTTGCTTACTCATTACTAATTTAGCCATTAGACTGTCCATATCAGTACTGGCCACCCAGCAATCCTGCTTTCAACTTGCTTTTTCCATAGTACTTTTAGTAAACGGCCATAGGATGATCAAATTATTTCTGGAATATTTTGTGGGAAATATGATACAATTTACACAATAGAGACTGAAGTGACCTGGTTTTTCTCAATTTTTGACTAACCTAAATGAATTCATCTTTTTTATTAGAGTATCCTGAATTTTTGCTGCTCTTTCTTTCTATTTTTAAAAATATTTTATTTATTTATTTATTCATGAGAGACATAGAGAGGCAGAAACTCAGGCAGAGGGAGTAGCAGTCTCCCTGTGGGGATCCTGATGCAGGACTTGATCCCGGGACCCCCGGATCATGACCTGAGCCAAAGGCAGTTGCTCAACCACTGAGCCACCCATGCGTCCCTCTGTTTTTCTATTTTTAACTAGAATGCCTCATTTATACTAGAGAGGAGGAAAGAAAAGTAAATTAAAATCTGAAGAGCACTAAATACTAACTCAAAAGTAGGAAGGATATGAAACTAATTTTTTTTCTAGTCTGGTTTCTTTTCAATTAACAGCCTAAATTATAAATTCTTTTTTTTTTAAATTTAAAAATAGCTTGTCAAATATCTACTGTGTGTTCTGTGTTAAAGCAAGAAATACCAATGTGTTTTGCTCTTATATCTTACCCCATTATTGTCATTCTCAATATTGATTTTAATTTGGTTAGGTTCTTTTATGTTTTATTTTGTTGTTTTTTCCAATCTTGTAAAGCTTCATTACATTTTCTAACTGTTTTCAGGAACGGGTGGAAAATTATTCTAATGTAAGTATTCACTTGAAGAATCCTGAAAACTGTTCCTGCCAAGCTTGTGGATTGCATCGCCACTGCAGATACTCAGTGTGTTTATCAGGAAAGTTGTATAACACCAGGACCATGGAAATAGATGATTTCATGTCACATGATAAACAGGTATTTTTCCCTCTCATTTTTTACTTTTTAGTATTTAGAAATTTTCGATATATAAGTTTGCACAAATAACTCTTATTTTTTATAAATGGAGAAAGCACTAGGAGAAGGGAAAATAGTACAAGAAAAGAGGTTATAGTTTTTGAATGTGAAAAATGTCTTTCATATGTCTATGGCAAATTCACTCCTAATTCAGATACTAAACTCTGTTTAAGTACAGATCACCCAAACTGCAGGGAGGGGAGAAGGGTATAAGATGAGAGTGAAAAGGCATTTAACTTAGACAAGGAAAGACTTTGAGTCCAAAGGAGAATTTAACTCAAGTGTGAAATTTTATGGCAGATAATTGACCAAATGGACAGTCCACAGACAGATAATTGAAGATGCCTGTCATCTTAATATGAGAATCGAAAGAAAATAGTGTTTCAACCTAGAATATATCAGAAGTGTGTCAAAGACTAGACAATCACCATATACCTGAGGTTCTATTAATTTTGAGTGAAAAGACAACACTGAAGAAAATATTTGAAATATTTGAAGAATATTTGATAAGCAAAGCAGTAAGTGTGAAGAGAGAAGTGCAGGTGCAGTCTAATTCTATTTATTTTTTAATCTTTGTAAACATTTATAGGGGCTCCAGGGTGGCTCAGTGGTTGAGCGTCTGCCTTTAACTCAGGTCGTGATCCCAGGGTCCTGGGATTAAGCCCCGCCCCCCCCAGGGGAACAGGGAGCCTGCTTCTCCCTCTGCCTCTCTCATGAATAAATACATAAAATAAAATAAAAAAACATATCGTGTTTATAAATGCAAAAATATTAATATCAAGAGCTTCCTCTGATGAGTCTGTATATCCATGAAGGGTTGTGTGTTTGGGGAGCTCTGAGAGTTACCTCTAAGTACTGCCAGTCTATTACAAAGCTAGAAATAGCCTATTAAACTAAATCCTTCTACTACATTGGATAGTATAATTCCTCAGTACTAGTGGCAGTAACTGATCAAATCCCTCTAAGGTATCTGCAAGAATCACTTGGAAATTTTCTATGGGGAGAATGAATTCAGAATTAGTCTTTAATGTATCATTTGGCAAATTACTATAAAAACACATTTTTTTCTCAACATAGTCAATATGCAAATCTCCCCATTGTTTAAAAACCAGTTTGTGACTTTGTGAGTTAAGACAGATAGAATCCTAATAAAAGTGAATTAATACTTTAAGGATCATGATGTATTGTGTATAGGTAAAAAATAGTGGTGTACGTTCACTGTCTTTACTGTCTATAGCTAATCCTGGGAAGGGAAGTGAGTTAGAAAAGCATTTCTGAAGTTCTGATATTCCTATGAAAGAGCAAAGATTCTGTATAAAATAGTTATTCAAATATCTACTTTTGGCTCAGGTCGTGATCCTGGGGCCCTGGGATCGAGTCCTTCATTGGGCTCCCAAAGGGAGCCTGCTTCTCCTTCTGCCTGTGTCTCTACCTCTCTCTCTGTGTCTCTCATGAATAAATAAATAAAATCTTAAAAAAAGGAAGCAGAGTATATACATTATCCTTGCAGCTATACAAAAATGTGTGTACACTTGTATGAATAGCTGTATGCAAACATTAAACTAGTTATTGTGTAATATAAGGTAATGTAATTAAAATTCTTTAGTATTAAATTTTTCAGTAATTTTTTTCTTTAAAGGAAGAAACATTTTTTTAAAGATTTTATTTATTTATTTATTTATTTATTTATTTATTTATTTATTTATTTGAGAGAGAAAGAGAGTGTGAAGGGGTTGAGGGAGGGATAGAGGGAAAAGGAGAGAGAATCTCATAGAGATTCCAGGCTGGGCATAGAGCCCCACACAGGGCTTCATCTCACAACCCTGGATCATAACCTGAGCTGAAATCAAGAGTTGGCATTTATCAGACTGAGCCACCCAGGGACCCCCGGAAGCATCACTTATTAAAATCTGTTTTATATCCTACTGAGCTACAATAGCAATGCATGTATGGAAAGGAAAGGAGAAAATAATAAACCTGTTTTTCCTCCAAGGCTTTGGTGAGGCTTTGCCACCTCCAACCTACCCTTAGGTTGTTTTGAAAAGTAATTCTCCATTTTGTGTTGCTGTTGAAAGTTATATAAAATTGAGACTGCTTGGGGTTATTAACTAGGGCTCTCTTTAAAGGTGCAAATAATGAAGAATGCATTTTGTGAATTTGTTTGATAATAAAACTTTTCTCCTTACTTACCCAAGATTAGCTTCTTTGAAAGACAGGATACTTTAATGGAAAGTGCAACTGGTAGGAGAGAATAATTTTAGTTACAGTAGTCTTAGGGTACTGAGACTAGAGGCCTTGAGTCACCAGGTCCTGGTGAAATCTGGGGGTATAGATGAGAAGGAAGTCAATCATCTGAAGGAAGGAGGTGTGAAATCTGAAATGGAGTTGGGAAGACTAACAACAATCTTGAATTAATTTCAGTTTTTCCGGGATCCCTGGGTGGCGCAGCGGTTTGGCGCCTGCCTTTGGCCCAGGGCGCGATCCTGGAGACCCGGGGTCGAATCCCACGTCGGGCTCCCGGTGCATGGAGCCTGCTTCTCCCTCTGCCTGTGTCTCTGCCTCTCTCTCTCTCTCTGTGACTATCATAAATAAAATAAAAATTAAAAAACTTTAATTTCAGTTTTTCCCAGAATCTGGCCAAACTCCTAAAGATGCTTAAGATCCAATGGGGAAAGGCAGTAATTTTGAAATAAGTGTCAGTATGTAATATGTCCAATGCAAAAAACAGGCCAAGAGAAAATAGAATCCTTTGGCTCAGCCTATTGCATTATATGTTTCTAAAGAGCTAGGTACAGAAAACAATGGGACTTCCATTCTTCCTCTTTTCTTGAGAATCTTTTTTCTTTCTTCTCTATACTTTAACTTCCATAAAGAACTGGCTCCTCTGTATCTAAATGAGGACCTAGAGAAATACCTCAAAAAGCTCCCTGTAATCAGCTGGATATTACAAATGTGCACGATGCATGTTTCATTGTATTCTTACCTTAATTTGTTAACCGGTGTTAGTTTATACTTCTATATGCTATATTTAATAAATTACAAATCACATTTTTTTCCTACTGCTTTGCAATTCACCATCTGCTGTTTTAGGTAAATTTGGTGACAGGTTTTAGCTCTCTTTTGAATTGTATCTTTGGATAAGTAGGATCCCTTAATTCACATTGATAACTGAGTTAAGTCAGTTATCCTCAGATTTATCAGTTTATTAGAACTATGCTAACCCTGCACAGTGGATTAGTAATCATTTACATGTCATTTGGCTTATCTGCTTTGAGAACAATCATCATAGGACTTATTTTTCTGTCTCTGGCAATTTTTTGATATTGTCTATCTTGTTGGAATAGAGTCCTTAATATCTAGAAATGCAATTAGATCATTAAAAGTAGTCTCTAAATACATTCCTTGACATTTAAGTCCACTGGTCTTACACCATAGAGTAATTTTGTTTTAGGACTTTATATAAATGGAACCCTACTTTGTAAGCTGTTTCACACTGTACACATAAATTCATAAGGTCTAATAGGCTGTAACCATACACTTAAAACAGGTAGGGCAAAGAGAGAGGCCTACTTGTAATATTATAGCTATTACATACATCTACTCTTTTCTGTGAACATTTAACTAACAATGGTTAAGGCTCTTAAAATGTGATCACACTTGGGAGGAAAATAGTATGAGAATATTATAAGGGTAATTTTAGGTTTATTCATCTTCGTGTTTATAGCTGCCAAGAAGATAGGAATTAGAAATGGAAAGAAGTAAACTATGATGTTAAATGTTTTCAATGCGTATTTTTGTTTCAGACAGGTAAAAAATTATTAAATAAGGATTTTTAAATACTTCTTCCCTCTTGGCCTAACTTAAAATTTTTATACAGATAAATCCCTCAGTTTTATGGAAATATAAAACACAGTGTGTTGGAAAATTTTTTTATTAAATTCTATTATTATTCTACTGTATTTTATCCAGAACAGCCGTAGGAGACTTCTCCCACACAATCTTCTCTGGTAACAGAGATAGAGAAACAGAGGGTACCCCTAGTGGTCGCTGCAACTATTGTGGCATCTTTTTTACTCAACGTGAAAAAGGAGGTATTGGCAAGGGAATTGTTAGAGTCGATATGACTGGTTTGATGACAATGTTGAAATGGAAAGCTTACTGGGAGTAAATAAGCAATGTACGATAATACATGATTATTTTTAGTCATCTAAAAACAAAGATTTTTGTAGAACTTGAATAGAAATCTGAACCGGGTTTTCTTCAATTTTTGAGGATTTTAAAAAAGATTGTAAGATGTCCCAAATACCATCTTCACAAGATGATGTATCAAACCTGACTGTTGCTAATCATATCTTTTATTCAGTCTTGCCAGTTCACTCTTCATTTTATTACTATTGTTTTTGCCAGTATACTCAGATTATTTATTGAACTCCTCACTTCTGTGAACCCTTGTGATGTGGCTTCAGAAAAACAATAAAGTTCTTTGTCAGAAAAAATACAAGTTACACAGATGAATATTGTAACTATAGCACTTGTATTGAACTCATGAAACCATAACCCATTAGTGAATTCAGGCACAGAAACAAGTACATAATTTAACTAGGAGTTTGTCCATTTCCTCAAGTTACTCCTTGAGAATAATACTGATCATGTTATGTGTTTAGTTGTAATGTTTAAATTTTAGTTTTCCTATTTTAGTTATCAGTATGTATAACAGAGTACATATTCAGAACATTCTGAAAGAAAAATGTTCTGGTTGGTTGATTTCGTAAGAAGAGAATTCTTAATCATAAAATCCTGGAAATCCATATAAGCACAGAAATTAAAATTTTCATAGTTTGCTAACAATAAAATATTAATGTGTTTTAATCATATCAGAGTGACTAAGGAAACAAATACAACTAAACACAGTTATTTTTTTACTTTACAAAGTTTTTTGGAAAAAATTATTTAGTGAAAAACTGTTAACACTTAGTATTGATATGAGTTTGTTTCAGTTTTACATGTTGCTTATACATGTAAGCTAGAAAATTGTCATAATTTTCTAGAAAATTTTAAGCTAGAAAATTGTCATAATCCAGGCATTTTTAACTTAGTAACTGTACCACTATGTACACAACTGCTTACTCGCTTTTCTTGCTTTTAGGTATGCCCATCCTTCTACATTAAAAGCCATTTTTCTCCTCCTTCTTAAACTTGGCTAGCTATTTTCTAAAGACTTAGTTCACGCATCACCTACTCATGGACTCTTCTCATCTCTGAATTGCGTTAATTGTCCCTCCTCTGTACCTTGATAGCATCTTTTGCCCAGCATTTGGTACATTGTGTTTTAATCGATTATTTTTCTCCCAAGACTATAAGCTCCCCTAATACAGGTAGTATATCTTTCACTTATGTATCTTCAGTGCTTAGCCCAATACTTGAAACTGAGCAGATGCTCAGTTTTTCTTAACTAAGTTGTATAATGAGAGAAGATAAAGGAATTATTGTGTAAACATTTTAAAAATTAAATAATGCAGTCATTAGATTTTGCTATTAAAGAAAATCTGAAGGCCAAGAAGGCTGTATAATCATTACTGTATCTTTTATTTCATATGTCAGATAATAATGTTTATTCCTTGATTTAGGTGTTTACTGTTGGCAGAATTTGTGCTAATCGCACCAGAATTTATCATAAACTGAAACATTTTAAGTTCAAGCTGTACCAGGAATGTTGCTCCATTGCAAAGACAGAAGAAGTTGAGGATGAACAGGTTAAGGAATCAGTGGAAAGAATTTTCAATCAGTCAAAGAAAAGTGGCTGGATTAAGGAGGTAAGGTGAATACAGAAGAATCATATCATTCATAGATTCTGGAGCTTAATTATGATCAGCAAAAGGATATTAATGATTAGAAGAAGACCGTGAAATTTAAAAGAGAATCTCTCCTCCCCCCTACCCTTGTCTTTGTATTTTCTCTTCTTCCACCCATTCCTTTCATGCTTATCATTGTCCAACCCTGAATAGGTGCCCTGATGTTCTAAGCATTCCTTCAGCTCATCAGATAAATCGAAATCAGCAATAATACTGTCCTGTGATGAAGGACCTCTGTCCTTTCACTTTTATATATATGGTATTCCTTACATATATATTAAGTCCCCTTATTTTCCTTGACAAAGTGTAGGACTCACCTCTGCTTGTCTGCTTCCTATTCTTTAGAACAGTTCTTGTGACCCGAGAGTGAAGAAGCACCTGGTGCCAATCTGAGGAAAGGATCTCGGCTGCCAGTTGTAATACCACCCACATCCTCTTCTTGAGGACATGGGCTGAGCAGTGAGCACACTGTAACTGAAGATCAAGGGGAATGCAGAGGTTTCAGGCCACGGCACTGATTTTGATTCCCCCAAATCCTGTTGATCACTAAGTTTGATATCAGGGATAAAGTGGGGGTTTGAAGAGTGCACTGGATTCCCGAAGATCTGCTGGCAGCTCAGAAGCTCTGGTCTGCTCACAGAGCTTTTAGAATTGCTTATGGTACTTGGAAAGAATGCTCATATGACTGTGGTGGTCTAAAACCAGTCTAGTTAATGGGAATGTATAAGAGAACACATATAGTAGATTTTCGGGCAACTCAGATCAACAGTATATTTAATCTTAAAAAAAAAAAAAACAAACGAAGCCTGACTTGAGATCTGTTGCCTGGGTTATTTATATCATAGGAAATTTATAAAAGAGGAAGATAAAAAAGAAGAGAGCTTAGTGAATACACTTATGAGCAAAGGGAAAGCAAAAGAACAACAAACAGGAACTCGTTAGGGTATGGCATGCTCTGCAGAGGTCTCCCAGTCTGCAGAGTGACATCAAACTGGTTTCCCTTCTGACAATTATCCTCCTCCACAAACCCCCACCTGGTGATCTCTCTGCCTTCCTGACCTCCCACATCTTAACCCTTCTGTAATCTTTCTCTCATGTTACTCTCCACGGCTTTTTATCTTTTACTTTGCTTCAACTTTTCTCCCAGTCCTTTGCTCCCTGTCCTCCTCTGTGCCTTTCTAATTTGCCTTAGGGAGGAGCCATTACTTAGCCAGTAAGCCCGTCTTTGTTTCCCTTGATGACGTGAAATTCTTAGCTGCTTTTATCAATGGGTTTAAAGGTTGCCAACCCTCTAGTAGAGTTGAAAAACCTACCGGGGCACCACATTTGTTTTTTAAAGAATTGTGTACTAGGTGTAAGAAAAAAATCACTGTGTATGTATTATACATATTATGTAATGATACTATATATGGGGAAGAATGTTAAACTTCTTGCAGAGAAAAACTAAAAGTATTTCCAGATCATGCATCTTAGAGAAAGCCTAACAAGGTTTCTAACAGAAGGGACCTGGAATAAGAGAAAATATCTGTAGAAGAAAAAAAGCCAAGTGTTCTATTCTGCTTTAAGAACAACACGTAGCATTGGGCAGTTAAGGTATTTCAGGGTCATGTATGTGTAGGACAATATGCACCTTTTTTGTATTTTCACATGCAAAACCAAAGAGCTTCATTTTCTTTTTGTGATCCCTCCTGCTTTAAAAATACTTGACCATAGATTTTCTCAAAAGATTTCCGAGAAACAAAAGTTTAGACCCACTGTAAACATATATACACCTTTCTGTGCTGTGCTTAAACTTCAGAATTTATCAAACACTGACACCTCTCAGCATCACTCCACCTAATGGTCAGGGAGTAGGAGTGTCCTTGCGCGACAGCATTGCACGTGCTTGTGATGCACGCCTTCTTCGTTGGCTGCAGGCTCAGGGCCACAGTTGCCCAAACCTTTTCGAATGCCAGGGCTCAGTGCTGCTTGAATGACCCTATCTGTAGCCCTTTTTGCACCTGCCTCCTAATCATCATGTCATCCCCTTCTCTTACCTCACACAAACTATCTGGTCCTGGCTTTTCTCCCAGCTTACACTGCACACCTTGCTTTTTCCCTTACCTGCCCCTTCCTCCTCCACAAGTTTTTCTTCCACTGTCTCAGGATATCTCAGCATTTCTTTCCAAAGACTTGCCAACCAGACTGACTTCATTCTTCTTGCTCTTCCTCCTAACAGTTGAACTAGGATGATGTGTTTTTAACCTAGAATGACATTAAAGGATAGGAGCTACTTGGGTGTGAGAAAGGAAGGATTAATAAAAAAATTCTAATAAAACCAAAACATATAATAAATATAATAAAAATAATTGTGTCATTCTAAATTAGAATGGAAGAATATACAAGCATATGCCACTGGCAAAATTCTAACAATAATGTTTCTTGTTCAGAAGAAAGTGAATGTGATGATGGGATTTCCAGAGAAGTTGAAGATAGGGTTGTTGGGATGGGGTGGGAAATACATAAACATCAGGAAATGGAGGAAGTATGTCAAAAAAAGTATCAACTCTCGGTTTTGCAATTTATATGTAAATTTTGAATGTATTACATAAAGATTGTTACATAAGAAGGAATTTTAAATAATGATTTGATAACTCACCCCTTCTTGGAACTCTTCTTATGTGGTATCTTTTTCTTTCTCCCTTTAAAACTTGTTTTTCCTTTTCTTTTTCTTTCACTCCCTAAACTGATATTTCTCAAATCGTGGCCCTAACAACCCTATGTCAGAATCACCCAGAAATTTGTGGAAAACGTGTAGTTCCTGGTCTCACTGCAGACCTATTGAATGAGAATCCTTGCGGAGGGTTTAACACCCGATATTTAACAAATTGGTGATTCTTAAACAAAATATAAAGATTGAGGGCCACTGCTTTAAAGGTAACATGTTGCTCTAGGTTCTGATCTCAGCTGCTTTACAGCCCTCTGCCTTGGCAAACCCATTCTTTTCTTCATGTCTGACTGCTGTTTCTGAAGACTCCAAACTCCTTCCTTTATGTTCTGACCTCTTTTTCACATTCTGGTCCCACAGTTCTGTTTTAATCAGTAGGTCCACCCTGGCACTCGAAGGGATTAACATAAGACCCAAACTCTCCAAATTTTTAGTAAAAAGAATGATGGAACCAAACTCTTTAGGTGGAGAGAATGACCAGGAAATACGAACTGCCTTCTTGCTGAGTTTCACTTTTCCTTTGGAAGGCTTTCTTTTTTCTTACTAAAGCTGCACTCTGCCCCTTCCCATCCTTTAAATCTCAGAAATAGCATATTATAATGGTTAAAAGCATGGATTTAAATATTTTCTAACAATAGAATTTGGAGGAAAGTTACCTTATTCTTACTATAAGTCTAAGTTGTCACTTCAGTTAAGTAGGAATTAAAACAACAATAATAATTAGAGTTTTGGTGTGCTATATCTAAAGCATTTAGTATTGGACCTAGCAATTAGTAAGTGATCAATTAATGTTAACTATTATAGTAATAAAAGCAAGTAGTTTTCCTTCCTTTTCTTAGTATAGCTGGGATAGATTGTAATTTTCCAAAAAAAAATTTAGTAAGAGGAAAAAGAGTATAAAGAAAGATAACATAAAAAGCATAAAACAATCAAACTCTTAAGGTATAAGTTTCTAATTCTATGGTACTTTACTTACATCTAGTAGAACCTGTTTGAGTACTCAGTCAAAAGAATCCCCTAGTAGTCCAAAGGTTATTTCCCCTCCTCCTTTTCTTCATTCTTTCCAGAGAAGGTGATCCAATCAGACATCTTTGAGGGGGAAAAAAGTTTCCTGGCCCTGCCCAGAAGGAAACCACACTCACTTTTCTTTTTCTTTTCTCCTATACTTTTCCATAGGTTCCTATCACCACAAAAGTCAGGATCATCAGAATCCTCTCTTCCTTCACTGAGAGTAGAACCAGAGTTCATAAGTAGGGTAAAGAAACCATTCGGTCAGTTAAGCTCCTCAATTGAAATCAGCAGTTTGAATTTTCCAAATCATCTGTGGAATTTCCAGATCATCCTGACTCCTCTTTTATCTTGTCCTCCCTTGGTCTTAACTCATCATCTTAATTGCTGTCACTCAAATTTGGGACCTCATTACCTAACTTACTATAATAGACTCATGACTAGAATGGATGTTTTACCATTTTTCTCAAAATAACGTCTCATATCATGTCAGTCTTCTGCCTTAACACCACTTTAGCAGTTTCACATTGTGTGTTGCATTTTTGCTAAACTCCTTCACCTAACATTTAATACTTTTATTCTCTGACCACAACCTCTTTGGTTCAGTCTTACCTCTCTCTCTTTCCCTAAGAAATTATAGTCCAATCCCATACTTGCCTTTTCGCTCTTGTATGGACTGTGGCTCCTACAAAAAACTCTCTCCACCAAATCTTTGCCAACCAAAGATTGGCAGATTTGCTCCTGGGACAGCTTAAGGGCTTCTCTTTCCTGATCACCCCATCTAACACATGGCTACTCTTCTGAACCTTCTTTATGGCCCTTGTTATTGGTGTATTACCACTGAACTCTGGTCTCCTTAGGGACAGAAAAAGTAAATTTTTTTTGGTACCTAGACAGTCATGAGAACATCTTTAATATATGTTATGTGTTCAACAAATTTTTGTTGAATAAGTTATTGAAGTTGTTACACTTCTATGAATATCATAATAGAAAAATTATAATGTATAAGAACATTATGAGATTAATATCTTCAGTTTGTTCTCTTTCCAATACTTTATGAGTTAGAAATGCTTATTTGAAATTGTGTCCCTATTTATAATAAGATTTTTGTTCATGATTATCCTGAAATGAGAAATGAACATGTTCCTGTTTATGTCTATAGATTGAAAAGGCCTACCTTATCTTCTTTGCTTTGAGTAAAATAACTAGCTTTTTTATTGTATACACAGAAATATGGTCAACTTCAAGAATATCTAAATTTGGCGGATTACTTTCAAGATGAGAAGTTTGACTGAATTGTAACACATTTCCTTCAGAGAAGATTTTATAAATTCCTGTAAATGTGAAGATCATGAGTCTTGTATCTCTGTATCATGTGACGTATTTATATATTTTATGTGTACTTTCATGGCAAATATCTTGTTTAAAACATATGTTCATCTCAGTTTCCATGAAATGGCACTCTACAGTTAAATAAAAGTTTTGTCTGCTGTACATAGAAGACATAAGCCCAATAATTTTTAAGTAAAGAGTATTTTAAAGTTCTAAAACAAGGCCTTTATAACAGATGATTATCAGTAAATGAGCTGTTCATGTCCTGTCAGCTTAGTAGGCAAATACTGTATTTTAAAAATGAGTCCAGACTAACATCTACATGTATTTGTTATTGAATCCCTGGCCAGATTTGTTTATTATCCTTTCACAGTATTAAATGATCTGCACTGATACATTCTTTATTACTGTCATTACCTGTATCAGTGGGCCATGGAAGAAACCTCATGTTTCATTCAGTTCAATCCCCTCGAGTTAGAATCAGACTGTAATTTACCCATTCTAAAGAGGAGTGCTTTTCTCCGTTTCTGAAGTTTCCTTTAGAAACAGAGCTCAGGCCTCCGGAGGCTTTCCACACTCACATTCAGGAATAATTTTGTGATACGTTTTTTTAATGCTTCATAATGTTCTTTTGATTTTTTATTCGATTTGTGTGCATGTTAATGGTTAAGATATATTTTATTTATTTTTATTCATAACCTTTCCCATATATGTATTTACATTACAATCCAAAGATCTCAGAGAGTCAAATTCAGCCAAAAATAGTTTAAAAGCATACTTTGGCATCTGCACTGCTTTGCACATCTAAGTTTCCCATAATATAATAAAGTAAAATGGTGTCATACTGACCAAATGGACCCTGTGTATTCTGTATCTTTAATTCTTATGAATAGTATCGTAGTAGGATCTATTTTACTGTACAATTTTAGATACTTGTTTCTGACCTTCTGTTGATTGAACCTGGCTTCAGTTATTATATGGTTCATGCATGGAGTTTAATATATGTGCATACATAAAAAGCTACATTTTATTGAGTCCTTACATAGAGATCACTTAATATTTTCTGTAGTTAATTTTCTGAAATTATCCCTATTGTCGTAAGCAAAACGAGTGGGAAAAGTTCACAGCATGCCAAAGATACCGATGCCGATGTTTTACGTGAGGGGTGCGTACCATTTGCAAAGTGTGAAATGGAAATTCCAGTCACGTATCTCTATTCTTAGTTCTCCAGCATACAGAAATAATCCTTAACTAAAGTGAAACCACAGTTGAAAGTTGCAGATGAACTGACCGTGCTGAAAAGAAGCAAGGCGGAACTGGAGGAAAAGTAACGGTCATGTTGGAAGGGGTAAGGAATGGCCTATAAAAAGGCAGGCCAAGGAAAATGAAAGTGAATGATCTGTAAAGTATCTCTAATGACCCTTGGAAGCATCACTTCTTAAATGTGCATGACACCACAGACAAGTTTGAGAATGCCGAAGAGTGACAGCTCCTTCCATCTGGAGAGTTTTTGAAATTAATTTACATATTGCTTTACATGCCATGCGTTTAAGTCATAAAAAGCAAAGCACTATCAATTAGAGGGACTTAATGATGGCAGCCAACCCAGTTCCTACATCAGGCTTCTTGTTGGCATGCAACATTTTTCCTGTTGGAACAGCCTTCTGACTGTGGATCAGGAAATTTAGTAAGAGTAGTTTTGCCGATGTCTGAGGTTACTGCAACCAAGCAAACTTCTAGAGTGGGTGTTTGAAGAACACAAGAGGCATTTAGGTATATGGTAACACCAAAAGGATAACAGAGAGACGGGCTGTTAGGAAGTTAGAATGAACATGGTTTAGGGCCCAAAAGCAAGTAGTTGATCAGAAAGAAATGTTGAAAAAAAAAAAAACTGAATTAACCTTTACAGGTATCGTGACATACTGTATTATTTTATCATCATCATAACCATCGATATCATTGACTCAATATAACACTAAAATAATAGTTTGTAAACTTAAAATCTCACATGTCTATGAACTTTTTAGACCTAGGCATTTAATACAGTGGTGTCAGGTGGCCTTGGTTAGTAGAGATGATGAAGAAGACAGAAATGGACAAGTAAAAGGAAAGGAATGTGTGAAAGAATCATATGGCTACACAGAAGCTTCAGGGTTGGAGAACAACAGCATAAAAAGAGGGAGAGGGAAACAAGGACAAAAAGCATTTATTTTATTGGCAGTTAGATATAACTGATCATGTTTTCTCACTTGTCTGCTCTCATCTTCAGAGGGGTAGTTCTATTCACTGCCCATTCCTTGGAGGCATTACAGCACTGCCTTAGACTCTAGCAAGCTGATTACAGTGTAATTGTGGCTTTGCTATATTGAGGCAGCAAGCGCAGTGGTTAAAAGGGCATAGGTTTGAAATCAGGGTTGAGGTAGAGTCCTGAGTTGTTACTTCCTAGTCACATGAGCTGCAAATAAGTAGTATAATTTCAGAATTTTCCTCATTTCTGAAATGAGGTTAATAATACTAATCTTTGAAGCCTGGATTAAGGGAGATCTGTGTGAAGTACTGTGCCTGAAACAGTGATTAAATAGTAGCTGATGTAGATGGAAATGAGGATGTGGATGATAATGATTACAGCCTGAAATTAAATGGCTGTGAAGGAAAAATGTATACGAAAGACACTCCAAAAAAGTGACTTACACCACTGATTATAATATGAAAATGTATTAAATTCCTGCTTGACAAGTTTTTAAGGTATGTCCCTGTCTAGCATGGAAACCAAAGTTTCTATCAGAAAGAAATAGTGGATTTGACAGAGGATTCTGTGTTACTAATGAAAATGAATGCTACAGCATGACTGTCGGGTGAACAGCATTTTAAATTTAAATATTACATTTTCTCTCATCAAGTACAATTGCTGAATATAAAGTGCCCATAGTAATGGAAGATAATGTCTAATGAATACAACTTAAAATCAAATATAAAATGATCAAAACTCCTTTGACTTTTAATGACACCTCATGAGAGCGTTCTCCAAATTTGCATACCTAACAAAAATATATTTCTGCCTTTCCCCATTTGAGTAGTGAGGAACTCAGCCTTAGAAAGGCTAAGAGAAGAAGAAGTCCAAATGAAAAATTAAAAAGGTATATTCCATCAGTATACTTGTCCCCAATTCCCAACAAACATTCCAGAACTTGTGAATATAAAATGGACTAAAGCAGGCCAGCCTATTGAGAACTAAAGTGTAAATAAATCCAGTGGTACAACTGTTTGCATTGACTTCACCCATTCATTTCCATCCATAGGTCAGTTTGGAGAAGGACCATATGACTGAAATGGGAGAGTTGGTTTAGGTTAATGAAGGCCCATTGCTTGAGACCTCAGATCCAATGACTTCCGAGTTAGGACACGGCATACTTACGGTCCTAACTATCCCAATATTGTGCTCACCTGAATGTGTTCTCCATAACTGATCATGACAAGCACAATCCATTCCATACTTTGAGACCTTAAAGGCAGGACCACGTGAAGATGAGACAACAGTCTGTGTAACTGATGTATTTGGTTTGTTATTAAACTTCTTGAAACTCCACTGCTACATGTTGATTTTCCTCCTGATATATGCAAGCCAAATAGCCACGGAGACCTCGGATCCTGCAGTTGTCTGTCATGGGTAATCTTGTATTTTCAAAGGAAAACCTTCATTGTTTTTTGTAGAACTGGTATTGGTGATTTCACCGTCATAAAATCTTTTAACTTTTCCTACCGATGTGCTTGTAATCAGCCAGTTGACTTCCCCCAGAGATCCCAGGAACAGGCAGGCAGGTGGACAGACACTCGCCTGCCCTCTGCCCCCGCCCTGCGCCCCCTCCCAGCGGCACGGACCCACCCGTCGTCCTTATTCTTATGGTGAACACTTCCTCGATGCTCCCCCTGCTCTCGCTAGGGTGCTCAGTGGTGTCATTTACAACATACTGAAACACGAAAATGATATCCTCAGGGGGGCGTGCTGTGGGTCTGAGAGGGAAAATACATTCCCTGGCCGGGAATTTCTTAAACACTTTGAGCCGGTGGAGCCGTCGTGTCGGGGCTGGGGAATTTCCCCCGCCTTCCCCACTCGGCCAGGCCGCGCGGAGGGAGCCCTGCCCGGCGCGGGCCCCGGGATGCACCGCTGCGGCCGCTGGGCGGACCCGCGCTCTTCCCTTGCCCTGCCCGGTGCCCGGTGCTCGGTGCCCGGTGCCCGGTCCCCCGCCCGCGCAGTGCCGCCCGCCGGCCGCCAGGGAGCCCCGGACCCCCGTGCGCCCCCGCCCCCGCCCCCGGTGCCCGGTGCCCGGTCCCCCGCCCGTGCAGTGCCGCCCGCCGGCCGCCAGGGAGCCCCGGACCCCCGTGCGCCCCCGCCCCCGCCCCCGCCCCCGGTGCCCGGTGCCCGGTCCCCCGCTCGTGCAGTGCCGCCCGCCGGCCGCCAGGGAGCCCCGCGCTGCCGCCCGCGCCCGCGCCCGCGCCCGCGCCCCGCCCCCGCCCGCAGCCCTCGCCGCCGTCTCCCTCGCCGTCTCCCTCGCCCTCTTTCTCTCCCTCTGCCGTCCGAGCACAATGAGAGCCTGTGTGCCGCCGTGACTCGGGCAGGGGAGCCGGTGTCGGCGAGGCGGCTAACAACAGACGGGAAACAGAAAGGAAAATACGAGCTACTTTTTTTCTTTCCATCCACAAAGCGGAGCAGTACGGGAGCTCGAGGCGCACCGCTCGTTGCGGGTGCAGACCCGCAGGTCCGCCCGCCGGGATGGGATGTACAAAAGTGCACAGAAAAGTGGCTGGACGGGACTCGGAGCAGTTTGCTGCAAGTTTGTAAGTTTGACCGTCGTGTGTAAATCACTCTCGGGAGAGTTTGTGTGTCGGTGCCGAGCCAGGGTAGAGCCGGGCCGGGCCGGGCCGGGCCGGGCCGGGCCGGGGGCGGGAAGGAGCGTGCGCTCAGGGACCTCGGCGCCCGCGCTCCGACTTCAGGCTGCGCCCCCCGGGCCAGGAGGCCGAGGACCGGGTGAGGGACGGTGCCGGGGGCAGCCCCAGAGAAAGCGCGGCCCGGAGTCCGGTGACGGACACTGCTAACAACCCAAAAGCCTTCTCCGTCCCTCCGGAGGAGACCCCATCCCGCGGTCCCCAGAGCGGAGGAGGCACCCGAGCCCGGGGAAAGGGAGGAAAAATTACAAGCCAGCAGACAGCCCCTCTTGGTTTTGGTACATGCTGAACACGGACTTCGAAAATTTCCTGAAACGGCACGTTTCTTCTAAGCCGAAGAAAAGTCAAAGCTGCAGGTTGCGTAGCCGTGTTGGAGACGGGTTTCTGTGCAGAAACGTACCCGTAAGATTTTCTCAGAGACAACTCGGTGAGGGGAGCCCGGCCCCCCACTAGCTCCTCTCCATTCCCCGGCTGCCCGGCTCCGGCTCGGCTGGACAAGCCCCGAACTCCCGCCCTAGCCCCAGATGCTGTGCGACAGCGCGCCCAGGGGCCCGCCCGCGTGCTGCTGCTGCTGCTGCTGCTGCTGCTCCTGCTGCTGCTGCTCCTGCTGCTGCTCCTGCTGCTCCTGCTGCTGCTCGGGGGGCCACCGACTCCGTCCAACTTCTCCAGGGCTGTCAGGTGCAATTAGAGCCGGTTGACAAGGGTTTGTCTCCAGCGAATCCGGTCGGTGCCATCGGTTCTGTTCTGTCTCCTCACCCCCGGTTTGCGCGCTCCCCTCCCCCACGCCTTCTCCGCGGCCCCCCAGCCTCCCAAGACCTCTGTCCATGTGGCCCTGAGCACGGGGCTCGCATTGTCAAAAACAGACTTGCCTGCGAGAGGCAGCGGGAGCCTCCCTCCACCTCTCCATCCCACGGGCAGCACCGCACCCGGGGAGATGGGGGACACAGCGCCCCCACAGGCCCCCGCAGGAGGGCTGGGGGGGCCCCCCGGGGCGGGGCTCCTTGGAGGGGGCTCGGTCGCCCCGAGGGTGCACAGCGCTATCGTGGAGCGCCTGCGGGCTCGGATTGCCATCTGCCGCCAGCACCACCTGAGCTGCGAAGGCCGCTATGAACGTGGCCGGGCCGAGAGCTCCGACCGGGAACGAGAGAGCACCTTGCAGCTCCTGAGCCTGGTGCAGCACGGCCAGGGGGCGAGGAAGGCTGGCAAACACACCAAGGCCACTGCCACCGCCACCACCACCACGGCCCCCCCACCGGCCCCTGCTGCGCCCCCGACGGCCTCCCAAGCAGCAGCCGCCGCAGCCCCACCACCCCCGCCAGACTATCACCATCACCACCAGCAGCACCTGCTCAGCAGTGGCAGTAACGGTGGCGGTGGTGGGATCGACGGGGAGCAGCCGCCACAAGCTTCAACCCCTGGGGACCAGAGGAACTCAGCCCTGATTGCGGTAAGGTGCCTGGTTTTCTCATGATTCTTGCTGTGGTCCGCTGGCCTTCGGTGAGGGTAGAGCTCACCTTGGCCTGGTGTGGCGAGGACAGCCGTGACAAGGGCCAAGGTGTTGGCTGTCTCCAAGGCCACCGAGTATGCAGTTCGTGCACTTTTATACTTTCACTCATCAAGTTCTGCTGGTGCTCACTCATGGCTCTTCCTACACTCGTAGGGTGATTTTTAGGCGGCAAAAAGCCCGAGTTCTCTAGAGGCTCTCTGGAGTCCAGAGGTGGCTACAGGCTGGCAAGATCCGAGCGAGCCACTGAGGAAGGCCCTGTGTCAGATCCTCCTGTTCGGGCTAGCCAGTTCCGAGTAGGCCTGACGAGCCACTCTGCAGCCCTTGTGCCTAATCAGTCCAACTGATCTTCATCAGAGCCTTTTCCTTCTTTTCCCATTTCCCCTGCCCCTTTCCGAGCAGCCCTTTCTTGGGTCAAGAGACGATAAGTGATCTCTACCACAAAGGAGTTCTGTGAGTGTCCCCTCAGCCAAAAGTGAACTGTGGAGAAAACATCCCAAAGACTAGTGAGGGTCTGATTTCACATGGACTCCCCCTGCCCCAGCCCAGTGCCTTGCCCAGGCGCTACAGTCAGGTAGTGTCTGCTGGCAGCTTCCCTTGAAGTGGGCAGGCACCAAGGAAGGGGCTGTTCCCAGGCCATTGTCCTAGGAAGTACCTTGTCTTCAACACTCCTGGCAATAGGGCATCGAACCTGAAAGTTCTGATTAAGTTTTTGGCTGGGAGTTCTTCCTCAGAGGCACAGACACACCCCATCCCAGAGGGAGTATCCCTTGAATCATTGGCTGTCAGTGCCAGTGGTGGTCAGGTGACTGCCTGCCGGTGCCCACATCTCCCGTAGCTTCTGGGCCAGTGGCCCTGGGCTGGAAGGTGGAGCCCTGCCCCGCAGCGCAACAGGCCGCCTCCATTTCTGCCGTCCGTGGGGCCCTGGGGGTTCTGTGTCAGCTTGTAGCCCAGCTCCAGTTTGCCCAGACCCTAATGAAAGTCAGCAACAGGAAACGGCCACGCGAGTCTCAAAGTACGCAAAAGCCCAAAGGAGAGGAGGGCACCTCGTCGATGCTGTTTCATCCCTGAATACAGTTAACCTGTAGGGTCACGTTAGAGCTTCAAGGCCTGACTTCCCTTCCCTACCACCTGTTCCGTGGCCACCTCTCCCTGGAGTTCCCTAGGAGAGCAGTGGGAGATTGTTCTGTGAAAGAGAGCTGCTGAGGTGAATGGGAGTGGGGGTTCAGGGCGGCGGGGGGGGGGAATCACTCGAACGGAGAGAAGAATGAGGTTTGTATGTATGTGTGTGTCACTGGCATCTGCAGCCAAAAGTATCTAAATGCCTTGATTGTCCTCAGTAAACTTATAATCTGTCTGCAAGTCTCCCAATAATACTGCTTTGTGTGCTTCACAGTCTCCTGGTAAGTGTTTCTGGGGATGATACAGGGAACGAGGCACCCAGCCTTTTTCAGTGGAGAAGAATGATCTCTGACCTGGGTGCCAAGACTGGAGGTGGCACTCACATCCCAGCCTCTGCAAGGAAGGTGGCATGTCTGCTCATGACAATGTTCTTGGGATTTTTTTTTGCTTTTCTCCAACATGGAAAGCAAATGAGGCTGGAGTGGGTAGGGGAGCTCTGGAATGTGAAATGAAACCAACCTCAGAGGTTATTGTCACTTTACCATAGTGATAGCCACACCGGGAGGAAGTGAAAGGACGGTGTCCTGCCTTTCCCGACTGAAGGCTTACAATGTGGCTGTTGTACCACTCCTGTTCTAAAAGAGAATCTGAACCCTCCTAGCCACCAGCCATCTCCTTGAGGAGACCCCAAGCACAGTGATGAGGAGAGGTCGGTGTGAGTTGGGACTGAAAAGAACAGTTGATTTCTGGTGGTTGCTTTTCTTTGAAAACGTGTGGCATTGCAGAGGTTCACCCGCCACTCTGGGTTTGGTTATTGGAAATTCCCTTCTCCTTTTTAGCTTCTAAATTTGGAGCTTTGTTACTCAGCATGGTACTCAGAGGTGGTGATGCAAGTACTGTATTAACCTGATAACATTGTGTTTGAGGGAGGCCTGGGCATTTGGGAGTGATTCATCTAGCCCTTTAGATCTGCAGGTCCCACTTCTTGCGGGCTCCTCTTATTTTCAGAAACACAATTTAAAGGGGCCTTTGTGCAGAAATGAGTGTCAGAATTCTTAATTTCATTGCTGTGTCCGTAACCAGATTTATTTCTGCTGGGTGTGTTGAATGTAGCACTTTAATAGTTAAGTCACATGCCGTAAGTGGCCATAAAGCTCCTTTGGAGAGAGGGAGAGGGAAACTGATCATCTAAAATCGGGTAGTCACTGTGTCCTCAGATGAACGCTCTGGATGCTGCATACCTGCCAGTACAACACCTTGTATGTATCAGTTTTTGAATGTGGACGGAAGGAGAACTTCTGGTCTGTGGGATAGCATTGACTTGAGGGCTATTATACCACAAGAAGTATATAATGTCTGAGTTTTTTTGATAGGCTAAGTTTCAAGAAGAATGCAAGAGTAACTTCCAAGACAGTTCTAATTCTCTCCACATTGAGAGCCTAATTCTGCAGCCCTTACTCGGCCAATTTCTTCGTTTCAAGTTCAAGGGAAGTACCATTGCTACAGCAACTGCAGGAATAGGGCCTTTCAGAGGGTCTGGATTATAGGGCTTTGAGCAGATCTGCATTTCTAACCACTTGGAGCAGGCTTTAGGCACTAAATCATTTTCTAGTGAAGTATGTTTGAATCTTTGAATGAACTGTGAAACTGAATAATTGCTGGTCCATGGAACAGTAAGGTTTAGAGCTTCTGCGGTTCATTATTAATCTTTCCCTTTTGCCTGAGACAAGCTCTTTTTTTCTATTGCATAGACTGTGTTGCTAGGATGGATAGATAAGTGGTTCCAAGTCATCTTTGGCTTTAAAGATTATCTTTTCTCTAATGTAGTGTGGAGGAAAGAAAGCAGATCAGACAAGGAGTCTGCATGCTTGATTCTGTGCCTGCTTGATCACTAACCAGCTGGGTGACCTAGGACAAGTTACTTAGCAGTCATCTGTAAAACAGGGAGGATAATATTGCTGTCCTAGCTTGTTGAGAGAAGCAAATGAATGTGTGTTTCGGAACAGGCTTCAGGAAATATAAAGCACTACAGAAATGCAAAGCATTACCACTAGTATTACTAATAATAAACTACTAAGCAACGAATCATAATACCAGTTTTTCCAGGGATTAAAAGTATACTTAAGCTTTCAGTTGTCTGTTTTAAATGGTGAAATGGCTTTTATTGTAAATAGTGGGATTGGTATTTCATTTCAAACTGAGTGCTGCCAAGATAAGGCTGAATTATCAGTGTACTTAAGTGTTCCTGAAGGTCCCAGGAAATCCTAGTTAAAATGTGCAGTGTTGTGGAAGTGTTTGGGATCTTTGCGTGCATGTCCTTTACGGGCCTCTGCATGGACCAGAGCAGATTTGGAAAGGTGTGTCCACCAGAGCGTCTAAGGAATATTAGAAAAGCCGTTTGCACAAATGGCATGGGAAAGTTAAATATTTTGTCAACAATAGTCTAAAATGTTAATTGTTAGCTTAAGAAAGTCAAACAAGTTAAATCATTGCTAGAGTTCTCTGGTTATTTTTAACTGATAATAATCAAGTTTCCAATTGACAATTCATAATCTGAGAGCTCTAAGTGGGGGGTTGAGAACAGAAACAGTTCATTGGCCAGATCTGGGTGTCTGTAGCTGCCTACATGATAAATATCCTCCCCAGAACAGTGATAGGAGTGTTTACATTATTTATATATGCAGCCATCATTTCCTTAAGAACTGACCTATTTTTGTTCTGTTTTCCAGAACAAAGTAATAACGGGAGAGTTCTTATCTCTCCAGGACCTTCCTACCACTTCTTTCAAGTAAATATAAGATCCCACAAAGGCAAAAGAGTTCAAGTGGAGAGAGAAGTTGGTATATAATCCTTTATCAAAAATGGGCAGAAAGCTGGCTTTGATGGCAGGGGCTGTTATAATGTCAACCAAGATGCCCTGCTTGTTTGGGTCAGTGTTTGTTTATGGAAGGCATTTGTGTGCTTTGAAATAATGTCCTCATTAGGTTATGTTTTTCAAACCTTAGTGTTCTAAACCTTAAGGTTTAATATTGTGTGGCTTCCCTATGCCTGTAAACCTTTCCTAAGGACCAAGATGAACATGGGTTTCAGATGTTCTAAGATATAATAATTAAATATGATTAAAAGAGCGGCTATGATTCTTGTTTTTAATTGTTGTTGTATGTATTTGTTTTTAGTGCTGCTATTTAATCTTGAAAAGCCTGGATGGAAATTAAAAAACAAAACACCAGTTCTGCCATGCATGGCAAGTAAGCTATCCCGAATGTATTCTACTACTTCCCTGTTCTTTAATCCAGGCCTTTATATGTCCAGGCCTTCTATAGGCTGGGTCATGTTTAATGAAAACCGTTCCAAATTCTTTCTTCGTTTTCATTCTAATTTCCCTCATGCTCAAACAGGCTCTGTGGGAGAATACCGAGAAATATGGCTAAAGTCTCTGCTCGCTCCCCAGGCCACTGGGGACATCAAGACCACTTGGATAAAGGAACAGTGCAAGTACTAACTAGGTAGGATGGACCAAAACTGATGTAGAAAGTCAGAAGAAAAAAGGAATAAATATTTAGCGAGCCCTAGATGTATCAGGCACTTTTATGTTTTATATAATACCTTAAAAAAACATACACACACAAACCTGGTGAATGAGCAACATTTGCCCCACTTCTCAAATAAGGAGGCTGAGGCTTTAGTGAAATGGTAAATGGAGGAATGTAGCACATAGATTTTATCTGTTGACCAGTAGTCAGATCCCACTTCACACCTACTATCTTTATGAACTAGAAATAATCTTATTCTTCTTGGGCATCGGTACCTTCACCTGGAAA